ATCACCAGGTGAGAATTCCGAGTGAAACTTTTCCCACAATCAGGACATTCAAAGAGTTTCTCCCCAGTGTGAATCCTCTTGTGTCTCACCAGATTGGTGTGCATGCTAAATGTTCTTAACACATTGGGAGGATTGATCGAGCTTCTCTCCAGTATGGGTCCTTCCATGAATCATGAGGGAGCTATTCTGAGTAAAGTTTCGCTGCACTCCAAATATTTGTATTGGTTTTCATCATCTCATGAATAATCAATCAGCAGTAATTTGCAATCGGGGTGTTTTTCCCTCAAGAAGCCATCTGCGGAGGTTTTTCTAGCACTGATATTCATGGATTCTTGAGAAGACCAAAAATATTTCTGATTTCTTACCTGGTGGTGCTTTCCTTCCTCAAAGGCTTTAATTTAATGACTGACCATTTTGGCTAGCCAAGTGATCTTTTCCTTTCCACCGACTTCAAGGTCTTTCCCACTTTTTATTTATTTGGAAATTATCCTCCTTGACTTCTCATGTAATACTTTCTTGAGTTGCACATACTCTCATTTTTTTCCAGCTGAAAACTTTGTTCTTGTAATTCTCTCCCTTGTTTCTCATCTGCTGAGGAAGGAGGAGAGTTTTTACACTTTCTGGAGGAAGTGGAAAAGATTTTGATTGATGCTTTGTTTTACATTTTAAGGCTGCTTCTCATTCTCTGTTGTCCAGAGTGCTCTTCTTGGCATCCTTTTTGTCTGTTAAGATTCATATTAATAGGTTAGTTTCATTATTGTTTAAAAAATGGCAGCAGGTCATGCGAAAGCAGCAAAAGAAACCCCATATATTACATGAAAACATCAAAATTCTAATTTAACCTCTAACATTAATTATGATTCATTTGGCAGATAGAAGACTAGCAAGATTCAAGTTCAAATATTGACTCAATTATAAAATTCTCTTTTTGGCTTGGAGAGATCACACTTATATGCACACAAATGCCCACAGAAATACACACATGAGAATTTATGTATGTAGAGAATTTATGTCTATTTCAGTGTGTAAAATCTCCCAGAAGTGCGTTTTCTCATTTTTTAAAATCTAATTTAGAAAGATGGGGACACTAAGAGCTGAAATGGTGACTGAATCCTATGCAAGATTTAGAAGCATCCGTTTTGCCCATGACATTCCTCACTTGCCAGGAAAACAACATGTCAATAAAATCACAAGAAATGAAGTGTTATATGAAGTATGAGGGTGATGGGCAGATATGAAATACAAAAAAAGATTTTTTTAAACATCCCAAATCTCAGATTCAGAACTGGAAGGCTCCTTGTAGGTCTTCCACCCCAACCCCATATTCAAGCAAGAGACCCTAACCATTGCAAGACCACCTCCTACCAAACACCTCCCTTCGACCAGTCCGCTCCCACAGAGAGGGCCTCTTTAGAGTGCCGTCGGCCAGACAATGCCGGCTGGCGACCCCCAGGGGGAGAGCCTTCTCTGTGGCAGCTCCTGCCCTCTGGAATGACCTACCCCCCGACCTACGTACAGTTGCGGACCTGCGCCTTTTTCGCCGAGCCCTGAAGGCCCATCTATTCCGTGCGGCCGGCCTGGCGTAGTTTGGATTGTGTTTTAGTGGGGGTTTTTGTATGGGGTGTTTTTAGAACAGGTCTGTTATTTAATTTGATTTTAGAACAGAAACTATTTATTTATTATTGTGGTTTTTAGTATCGCCTGTTCACCGCCCTGAGTCCCGTAAGGGACATAGGGCAGTATATAAATTTAATAAATAAATAAATAAAAAAAAAAAAATAAAATTTCAAACAAATGGCTGTCTAGTCTCTTCTTGAAAACCTCCCATGATGAAGCACCCACTTCTGAAGGCAAGATGTTCCACTGGTTAATTTTTCTCACTGCTAGGAAAGTTTCTCAATTCCAAGTTGCTTCTCTCCTTGATTAATCTCCACCCATTGTTTCTTGTCTTGCCTTCTGGTGCTCTGGAAAACAAGTTGACCCCCTCTTCTTTGTGGTAGCCCCTCAAATACTGGAACATTATTATCACGTCCCCCCTAATCCTTCTTTTCTCTAGACTGGCCATGCCCAATTCCAGCAACTGTTCTTCTTATGTTTTTGTCTCCAGGCCTTTAAATTTTAGCCTCTCCAATCTCCCAGCAGAAAATTACAGGCAGAAGTTTTAATCATGCAGGGGTAAGTGTAAGAACATTTGGAAAGAGAAAGAAGCAGCCAACATGCTTCAGCTTCTCTGCCTTTACACCATGGAGGAAACCCAAGACCCTACTTGGTCCTGGCTTCTTCTTCGACCTGCCCTCCACTCACCTTCCAGTTGGTGCTTTAACCCTGGGAACAGCACGACTGCTGCCCTCCACATCTCCAACCTCCCATGGATGCGCTGGAAGAGGAAGTTCCTCTGCCCTTCCTTGACATCCTTTCTAGCAATATTCTATGGTATCAATGCCTTTCATTTCAGCTGCTCTCCCTCGGTTTTGACCTTGTATCTCAGCCACCAATGATGCTGCATCTAGATTGACGGTTGTATAGACGCTGGAGTCGTATTAGCGCTTCACCTAGTGACGTGAGGATGTATTTGTATTTTGCTATTTGCCAGCATTATGTGTCAGCAGGCAAAAAAGCTAATACAATCCTTGATTCTATAAACAGAGGCATAGAATCAAAAATCATTTGAAGTATTATTACCGCTTTATAAAGCCTTAGTAAGGCGAGACCTGGAATAATGCATCCAGTTTTGCTCACCACATTGCGAAAAAGATGTTGAGACTTTGGAAAAAGTTCAAAGAAGAGCAACTAAGATGATTAAAGGCCTGGAGACTAAAACATATGAAGAACTGTTGCAGAATTTTGGTTTGGCTAGTCACTCTAGAGAAAAGAAGAAGTAGGTGGGATATGAGTGCAGTGTTCCAGTATTTGAGAGGCTGCCACAAAGAAGGGAGGGGTGTCAATTTATTCTCCAAAGCATCAGAAGGCAAGACAAGAAACAATGGATGGAAACTAATCAAGGAGAGAAGCAACCTGGAATTAAGGAGAAACTTCCTAACGGAGAGGTCAATTAACCAGTGGAACAGTTTGCCTTCAGAAATTGTGGATGCTCCCTCATTGAAGGTTTTTAAAAAGAGAGTGGACAGCTATTTGTCTGAAATGATATAGGGTCTCCTGCCTAAGCAGGGGGTTGGACTAGAAGACATCCAAGCCCCTTCCTTTTCTATTCCAATTGATTGATTGCATATAGGGGGGGGTATTGGTTTCTGTATATAGATCTGCATTTTGCTATTTGCAATATATTCAGTATTAGGATTTTATTGCTGGAAGCCATCTGGAGTCACCTTAAGTTGGGCTGCCATATACCTTTTCTTAATAAATAAAAATACATACATACTGATATCCTGCCTTTATTGTAGGTAGAAACAACTCAAGGTGGCAAACATATCTAACAGAGATCCCAGTTCTTTTTCTCTCCCCCAGCACAGCAGTTTCCCTTGACTCCGTGAAAGAGAACGACCACACTGGGCCAGAGAAAGGAAGCTCAGATCTCCTTCCTCACGTATGATACTAAGACACATTTGACTAAAAAAAATAAAGAAAGAAAATGGTTTCTCAGTGGGGCTTACAATAAGAGAATAGAAATCAAATTCAACATTACTCTACACATATCAAATTTTGCTTCATGTGGAATTTCTTCTGTGCGATAAGAGAGGACTTTTGTATAAAACACTGCCCGAAATCTGGGCATTTCAATGGTTTCTCCCCTTATATGATTTATAAGGCTAGACCTACTGTAGTGCTGAAATCTTTCCCACAATCTGGGCACATATATGGTTTCTCTCCTGTGAGTCCTCTGCTGTTCCACCAGGTAAGAATTCTGAGTAAAACCCTTCCCACAAAACAGACACTTTCATTATTGTTTAAAAAATGGCTGCAAAGCCTGTGAAAACAGCAAAAAAACCAAAACACCATATGTTACTATGGAAAAAAAGCAAACTCATGAAATGCTAGTTTAACCTGTAAAATTAGTTATGATTCATTAGGCACATACAAGGCTAGCAAGATTCAAGTTCAAATATATACTCATATATCCAACCATGAAATTCTCTTTGTGGCTTGGGTAAACCTCAAATTATTAGCACTGCAAATTGTTATTATAAAATGTACCTGAACATACTGAGGATTATACAGATACATGTATATGCACACAGAAATACACACTTATGAATTTATTTATATAGAAAGTCAATGTGTATTTCAGCCTGCAAAATGTCCCAGAAATCAATTTGCTCAATTAGATTATATTTTTAAATCTAATTTTAGAAGGATGAGGACACTAACCGAAGTAAGGGTGCCCAAAACCTAGGCGAGATTTAAAGGATCCGTTTTGCCCATGAAACTCCTCGCTTGCCAGTAAAACAACATATCAATGGCATCACAAGGAATGAAGTGTTAGGATCAGTGTTTCTCAACCTTGACAATTTTAAGGCATGTGGACTTCAACTCCCAGAATTCCACAGCCAGCATTGCTGGCTGTGGAATTCTGGGAGTTGAAGTCCACATGCCTTAAAATTGTCAAGGTTGAGAAACACTGTGTTAGGTGAAGATCGAGGGAGATAGGCGGTTAAAACATATGAAATAAATACTTTTTAAATGTCGCAATTTTTTCCATCTC